GGGGGTTGGGGTTGGGGTTGGGGTAGGTAGAACTGGACCTTCTATGTCCACTTGATACCAGTATGGATTGTTCTGAAGAATATTCATGAAAGGCAGAAACATGTAGGTTCCAATTCCCAAAGACACAAGAGCTTTGGGAGTGACCATCCTTTGGTGTCCATTTTTGTGTTCCTTTTTTGTCGCTGATGTCAGTCAACCCGTTCAAGATAGATTGGTGTTATTTTTTATGAAAAAAAAGCCAAATGCACAGCTTTCTTATTATGATTGATAATTCCAATAATTTTTGCTGTCTACAACCGATTACCTGTTCACTATTGAGATGAACTGATGAAAATTCATATAAAGTACCTTTCCCAAGGAACAATTGATTGGATTCGAACCCACGACCCTACGAATGGGTGTCTGAAGGGTTCAAAGTAGAACACCGACGCTATGAAGATTAAAATAAAGCTACCCCTAACATAAAGAACTTATAAATAAAGCTATTTCTAACCCAAAAAATCTTACAAATAAAGCTAGCCCTAACAAAAATAACTTATAAATAAATATGTCCCTAACAAAAATAACTTACAAATAAAGCTAACCCTAACAAAAAGAACGCTATCCGTATCAAACAAAACTTATAAATAGAAGAAAAGTTTATAAATAAAAATATGTCAAACCAAATAAAAAGCTTATAAAATATATTCCAAACAAAAAATATCAAATAAACAGCTATTCCTAACAAAGAAACCCCATAAAATAAACGTTCGTAACTACAACAAAAATGTAAACCTAACAAAAAGCCAAATATAAATTATTTACTTTAGAATTACAAAGTTCTATCCCCTCACTACCCAGCTTTGAGAAATTTGACGTCAAAATTGTCGGGTTCACAAAATCTCAAGCTTTTCCGAATGCAATTCTGTGAATGTTTTGATAACGTCTCGTAACAATGTCACGATTTTGATTGAGTAGATGGTTTTTGACTTCATGGTCCTAGTAACTGAAGAGTGGCTAAAGTGGTAGACAGAACGTTGTAAATCTGGTACCCCTCAGGGCACTGCTGCTGACTGAATTGTCTTTAGGCCCTTCCCAAATCGGGGATGCTAACAAGTTCTTATGCACAGTAGAATGGGCTGATTTATCAATATCATGCGTATACTGTGTCGGAACAGCATAGTGGGAACTGCTGCTTTTTCTTTCCTCATCCTTACTATCGTCCTTTTTCCTCTACTTCTTTTGTATGTTTGTCACTCTCTTGTGAACTGCTATTTCTGGGGTGCCTTGATAATCGAAGCAGACAGGGCTTTTGAGGCAAGAGAGATGAGCAGAATAGCCTGATTCCACATTTGGATTTCTCTGTTGACACACACCCCTTAGCGCTCATAATATGACCTTATGTAATTACTAGCGCCGTAAAGCTTTACTAAAGCAAACAAAAAGAAACAAGTAAATCTGTTGAAGAGAAATAAAGGTGATTTGCTTACTCCTCCGCTGGTGCACTCCCAGTATTTGGAACAACATGTATCAGGGAAACGATTGCCGATGTCAGAGGATAAACACCTCCCTGAAAAACAACAATAAATGAAGAGGGTTAACAGTCTCACGGGAGTGCTGGATATTTGCAAGTGTGTATGTTTAGTGAGCTATTGTGTATGTATGTATGTGTGTATGTATGTATGTATGTA